AAAAGTGACGTCAGTTTACGTTTCCCCAGGAACCTAAATGCGTTTATATTAGCACTTGGCATTGCTGAAATTTTCCTTGTTTACCTGGAGTTAACCATTTTTCATATCATGGAGAGTACTTCAGATATGTTAACCTAGCTTCTCTCCTCATAAGTCACAGTTATCAATACCACTTGTTCGAGTGACGTGACGTGTGCGGGCCTAGCAGAGGTCATGGCTTCGCATCCACAGTTAAGACAATGGTGAATGGCACTTTTCACTAGCGTACATTAGTCCTTTACAAAGCCATATCACATATGTTCTCTTACAAGTTCATTTCAAGCAACAACAGTATTTTATGTTGAGAGAAAGGTACGATACCGAAACCATAGACTGTGTATTTTTTTAACACCTGGTAATATTTTATTGCGATAGCAGTTATATGTACAATCTCTGCTGGATATCGCTGCCAGTGTCGGCGTCAATGTCATGCACCGTATATGTATACGTATATATATAAATAAATATATATATATATATATATATATATATATATATATATATATATATATATATATATATATATATATATATATATATATATATATATATATATATATATATTTATATATATATATACGTATAAATATATATATATATATATATATATATATATATATATACGCATGAAAGAAAAAAATGGCAGCATATCCACGGAGTGAATGATGGAGAGTGGGGCGAAGCATTCGTCCGTCCATGCGTCCGTCTGTGTGACCGTCCATGCGTCTGTTCGTGCGCCCGTCCCTGCGTTCGTTAATGCATCCGCCCCTGCGTTCGTTCATGCGTCCATCCATGCATCTGTCTGTGTGTCCATTCGTCCATCTATTCAACACTCCAAGTCCCACCATCTCGCATCTTTTTATCATATATTCCCCATATAGAAGCACCGCCACTCAGTGTACATTCCAAGGACTAAACGAGAGGTGGCACACGCACACTTTCTTACGCCTTGCGCTTCGGGTCTACTTCCCACCTTCAACCACCTTGAGTTCACGGTATATACTAGTTCACTGTATTCATGGCACTGCGGCTCAACGCTCGCTAAACCTTTCTAAAACTAAGAAGATTACACCCAGCGAGTATAATGTAGCAACCTTTTCTTGTCCGATAGTGCTCAATGTACATGCCAATGGCTGCTAATGGGGATCGCAGCGTGCGCGTTGACTAAAAGCCGAATGCTCCTGTCTCTCATTCGCCATTAGCAGCCATTGGCATGTACTATTTTTCATTGTTAAACAACGCACAGAAGAAATCTCTCACCGGCACCACATTGGAGGTCAAATGTTATACCTATTTCGGGTATGTGCCACTGGTGGTTACGTACTACGAGGGACGCCCGAGCCACGCCATAAGGAGCTTCGCCCCTAAAAATATCCAGGAAAAAGACTCCGAAGCGCTGAATTTGACGGGGGACCTCCACGTCGCTAATGCGAGGCGTTAATGACTGAGCCACCCAGGGGTACCTCCGTCAACGTTCGAACGGAGGTACTCCTCCGTTTTCATATCTACCACTTACCGCTGTTGGCCAGAATCTCGGGGGGGGGGGGGGGTAGCTATCGTGTTTTTAGCATTGTCAGCGAGATGGCGCAATGAGCGCGCGTCGGCTCTCATCTCTCAGGTGCACTTTGGTCCGCGGAGATGAGGGGAGTGTATGACCTCTTGCGTGCCCTTATCTCCCGGTGGGGAGGATCATACATGTTGGCTTGCGTTGGGCTTGCAGTAGAACGATTCTGTTGTAGTTACGGGGCGAACAAAGGTCACCTTAATCGTTGCACAGCCTCCATTTGCGAAAAGTGCGCGCTTTTGAGACACAGCGAAGTAAAAACTGAGACGCTTATTCGCTTTGATATGTACCTGTGAGTACGTTTCGTGCGTCATTCGTGCGTGAGAAACGCGGGGCACGTTTTGATCTGCTTGCCATTCTGCGCATGACTTCCAATTTGTTGCTATCGCGTTCATTGCGTCGCCTTTGCGGCAATGCTATGTTTTTTGTTATGTTAGTGCACGTAATATCCGTGGGCACAGAAACAACTTGGTCGCTAGCAATGGCCATGTCATTGGTTTTTTTTTATTTTTACTAGGAAAATTCACGTTTGACCAGGCCTTTAACTTTGTTGAATTTATGAATTTCTTGATAAAGTTTCCTCATTTACGTAGTTTATATTGTTTGTAAAATGTACATCGTTATTAAACTTGATATGTGAGCACAATCACACGACACAGGTGCCATATGAGGGAAGTAGAGTGAGAACCTAGAAGGGCGCAATGCATGATTCTTTTTTGGGAGGAATAAATAGAAAGGCAAAAGAAGTAAACAAGCAGGGGACGCTGGTGTACACGGACTTCATTGTTGATACGAATCTTTCATAAAGGGAAGAACAAATACGTATCGCTACTAATAAAATCAGCACTGCTCAGTGACGCTGGCGCAGTCGCGGAATGTATAATCATCCAAGGCCGCTTGTACCATCTACAGAAAGGGGGGGGGGGGTCTAGTCATATACGTCACATGGCTCTTGTGAGACACTTCAACACCATTTATTGTCCTGCATTCATTACGCAACAGGTATTGCTAATGGGAAAATATAGACTCTGAACTCAATGTTAGAAAGAGCAGTTACAAAACGTTTTTAGCCACTCTTACTTCAACGCTTTTGTTTCTATTACAGGAATCGCATTTTCTTTACGTTGCACGTTTAGTCCACACAAAATCATTGGCATGTCGCGAACAGTGGCGCAGTTTGAAAACATTCTAAATCCTAAGGATCCTGTATTTATTTTGCATACAACAACATGCTTTACCGGTCGTCTTGTGAGTGCAACTTTGTCTTGCCTCTTTTCTTCAACAAGTGCTCCCGTTGGTCGTATGAACATGTCGTTGTGCAACAAGTGGTCTGAACGTTCACACTAGTCCGAGCCAGTCAATCCTTTTGATCCGTACAATGCATGCAATAAATATTTTTGTATGCCGATGTACTCAATTACCTCGTGCTATACTTAGACATAAATTATTACGGCTTGTCCAGAACATTGTGAGCCATATTGAAGAGAAATTGAACATTGTTCCACTCCCCCCCCCCCCCCCCCCCCGCTGTCGTTCTGGGACGTTTCGTAATATTTACAGGCCGTCATCTGAGAAATTATTGGGACCGCATCCTACCGCTGTTCAGTTTACACAGTTTAAATGTACAGTGCGCTACTAGCTTATAGTTTTTTTCTTTGACTGTCTATTCCTGGCACCGCGCCTACTTAGTTTTTACCACGCAGACAACTTGTGCGCAACGATATAACGCCACAAATATATATTTCAATCTACCAGGTATTCGTAACACGTACGGCCAACTACTGATTGAGTTTCATTACACCAAAGTTTGAAACGCATTACACCTTGAAGTAAAAATTGCTAACCCTTTCTCAGCTGCTGTTAAAAATTGTACTCCTAAATATATGCTTGCGTAATATGGGATCCCCATCAGCAATACTTGATTGACGCATTGGAAAAAGTTCAAAACCAAGCAGCCAGATTTGTTAGCAACAACTATAATTCCTTTGCAAGCATCACAGAAATGAAACGAGCATTGAAATGGGAGACACTGATGGTAAGGAGGCAGAAACTCAGGCTTAAATTTCTTCATTGTATATATTTAAATGGAAATGCCATTAACCCTCTTGATTATCTGTTCACACCAACGTACGTCTCTAATCGTCAGGACCATTCACGAAAAATATTAGAATACCGTTACGAAACTCACTCTTTCGGTAGTTCTTTTTTCGTAAAAACAATACAGGAATGGAACCATCTACCGGATGATCTCGTGAATGAAACTGATAATGATTCCTGTTTTTTTTTTCATTGTAACAACTCCTACAATATCACTGCCACTAAGAATGATTTGCTGTCTCGAAGCGTGTGCGTGTTTTCAAATGCATGACTGTGACGTTGTTTTCACTCACCAATATTCGAGTGTTTTTTTTCTCTTAAAATACTTTGAGTGCTGTTTTATTTGTTGAATCTATTGTTTTGATTGAAAACTATGTAGTTAAATTATTATGTGTACCTCCCCTACGTAATGCCTCACGGCGATGTAGGTGAAATGCAAATAAATAAATAAATATATGATTTTCTCTAAATTTTTCTGATGTAATTCATACTGTACTAAATTATTTTCTAAACGACTGTGGAATGCTTGTTTCCTTTTATTTGATGTCGAGTTTATGTTTTTGCTTAACCATTAAGATTTTGTTCCTGAGAAGTATATATGCACTTGATAGTATAGCTTATACGTGTATATTGACTATGGGCCTACACTGGCCTTAGGCTACTGGCGCAACAGTTCTTCGCACAAAGATATGATATGATTGAAAAATAAATAAAAAATAAAATGAATTTAATGAAACAACTTCCGTTTAAAATGGGCGCTTTTCAAAGCACACTCTTTTGCGCCCTGACAGGTACTCAGATGTCGTTAACCGACACGTAATGCTGCTGAACGACGTAAAGAAAATTCGCAATATGCCGTGAAAGCTCTGGTTCCGGTGGACTTGTGGTCGCGAAATTCAAATTACATTGAAAGTTCTTTATTGCAATCTGCTTAACGAAACATCAATATTTGCTCAGCGTTCTTTTTTTATCATGTATTGTTTAGGAGGTCTTCACGCTTATTATGGTGCCAGCAACTCTTTCTAGAAGATTTCAGATGTGGCGATAAATGCAGGAATCAAAAAAGGTTACCTAAATCACACCTAAGGACAGCTCAGTTGTTTAGTCATGCCGTGAGACCTAACTGATGCCTGAAGTCTATTCACATTACGACACATAAGCAAAACACAGTATCCTATCACATCACGTCACTCTTTGGTCACATAAAATATAAACACGAGACACAGAATACATTGAATAAAAATGTTCCGTGCTTAACCTTGCAATATCTATGCCCTCGTTCTCACTCCCCAAATTGCAGAGGCCAAGATCCGCAGCGTTCTGTCCGCAGCCATCGTGGAGTTCCACGAAGGGGACCTGCTTTTCAAGCTGAAAGAGAAGTGGTGGAAAACGCGGAACCCACCGGACCCCACAGCGCTGGCCAAATGCCAGCTGTACTCCAACGCTTCATCGTCGTCGTCGAGCAGTAGTGAGATGGGCCTCGCCTCCGTTGGTGGTGTCTTCATCGTCTTGTTCTTCGGATGCCTCGCGGGGGCTATACTCTGCTTGGGAGAGTTTATTTGGGAGCTTCAGAAGACTCCGTATGGAGAAAGGGTAGGCTCAAATGACTTCCGATCACCGGTAACACCTTCAGAGGCAGGGTGTTTAGTAGGCATTTCAGAGCGAAACGCTTAAAACTCGAGATAAAACGTCGGGTGTCCGCAAAAAAAAAAAAAAAAAACGCACCACGTTGTTGCTTATCACGTGGGGTTGCTTATCAGCCGCACTCGCCGACGGCGGCAGTTAGAGTTGCAACGGTGCCGAGTTTGCCCGTCATGCTAGTCAAGTACAAGGGATGAAAGGAGCTAACTTCTACCAGAGATACGACAGCCGTGTACTTTATAGACATGTCTGGGATCACTTGCTTTGCGTGGCGTATATTGTCAATCCATTGTTGCCGCTAGTGGAGAAAACAGCGACAACAATGGATTGACAGCGTGAGCCACGTAAGGCAAGTGATCCTAGACATGTTTACGAAGTACACGCTGTAGCTACTTTACTGTGAGCTTATGATCCTCGCAAGTGATCTGATGTTTTTACAGTGCTGACAGAAGCGAGTAGAAGCTGCCGAAGGGACCTTGAATGTGTGGTCAACATTTTGTTCGCGCAAAGCCATTCACAAGTCCAACAATACTCCCTCGTACGCTGTTGCTGTTTTTCCGTCATGCTGCCCTTCTTATAGTGGCTATGATTCCCAGGCTGCGCAGTTCGTAAGCATCAACAGTGAGCAAGGAACCCCTGACATAACACAAAATGTAGCGGGGCTTCAACAATTTTATAATATTATCCCCTTGTACTGCATTTGCTGATTCAATGCACTGTGCACGCAAGTGAAGCCGCACCATGCCGTTTTATCACGTTACGTGATAGCTAAGATAACGTGTCCACCGATGGCACGTCACATAGTTATTCAGGCGCTTACTCAGCCCTAGCTACACCCATAGACGGAATAGAACTATAGGACAACAGCATCGTTGCACTGTAACGGAATTACTAAACCCAACACATTCAGTTCGGAGATTGTATGCGTTTTGCTTGCGCCCATCGTGGAGGGTAGCCTAACACATGTCAAATACAAATTTGATCTTTCTTTTTCAACGACAAGCAGGCAAAAGGACGTGAGAGAACGCATAAAAACAATAATGGTGACAGCATATGCTTCCAGGTTTACGCCGACCTGCCTGCCGTAGGATTCACTCTTTAAAACACGATTTTGCCTTCATTAATTTCAAGTCCTTCTAATCTTTGACATCCTTATGTATCATATGAGATTCGGTCCAGCTATATATAATTCATGTTCCCTATGACATACCATCATAATACTTTATACTGCTGCTTGGTTGTTTTTTTTTGCCCTTTAATTCTGTTTTCCATCGTCCACTGTTGGAGTTCTGATCTTACGCTCAGAATAAATATGCTGTCACGCTTGTCATAAATTCACATTTCTTGTTTAATACGTGTTCTCCACTCCTGGTAGTATGCTCCTACTGAAAAAAAAGTGTCTTTCACTTTTTTTTTCACGTATGTAATACCGCATATTCAATTTTTTTTGAACAAGTACGCTGTCCCACTTTTGGGGAGTCCTTGATCAGCCGACCCACAAAACGATAGTTAAGGTGTGTCTTTTGAGTTATCAGTCTGTGAGCTACAGGAAAAAAAGACGCAAATCAATCTTTTCCCATAAACTATAGTCTGACAATGCATGTAAGCGAAGTGAACTGTTATACAGAGCGATGACAACCTGAGATGGCTGTCCGTAAAATATTTTTCCACTGTGTAGGTAATGAAGTGTCCTTTAGTTGTTGTCCTGTGAAGTTGTGAATTGTGAACATTTTGACCGTTTCAGGAGTCCATCGTCATGGAGATGTTCCACGCGTGCAAGTTGGTCGTGACATGCCGCGGACGCAAGTTCAGTCCGAAGTCCCTGTCCATGGAAGGCTCACTTGACGGAGAGGCTACTCTTCGCTCTGCTGCTCAGTCTTCGACAAGAAGCGGGGGCACGGCTGTAGCATAGGTTTTGAAGCTTGTCCATATTTTTTTCATACACTCATATTCAGGGACTGCGTAAAATGCTAGCAAGGAAAACTAGCTTTTTTTGTAGTTTCCTGTACTGCAATGTTCCTTTCAGAATTTGAAGTGTAGTTTCCAGTACTTTACCTGTCGAGAACTGTGCTCTACTTTCGAAGCAGTGTTTTTTCTGTACTGTAATGTACCTTCAAGCCAGTGAGCTGTACGTTTTGTAATACTACTATGTGCTGTAGCGTATTTTGCACACGTTACTGTACATTCGCGAACATTGCAGCCTTGGATACTGTCGAGTTTTATGTACTGTACCGCGCATTTTGGGACAGTGGAATTTTGAAATTTGTGCAGCTTTTCAGTGTACTCTTTTCAAAAGAGTACTGTGCCATTTAGAACGGTGCATTTTCAGAAACGTACCAAAATTTCAAGTTTGGTCTTTTCGCGCATTTCGTTTTTCTTGGTTAAGGTGGCACTTTATTCAGCCCCAGTTGTGGAGTGTACCGTTCGCTCTTCTTGCAAATGAAGACCGACTGATGTCATTGCTTTTTATTCATTATTATCGAATATTTCTACTATATTTCATCAATTAGGTTGGAAGAGGTTTGAAAGAGTTCATGCATTAATAAAGTAACCATATATCGTGAAATCAGATAGACCTGGGGAATATCAAACTCATGTTCCTTCTTTTATCTCGTTCCGTAGTATTTTTGTAAGAATTGAATTATTTCAGTTAATGTGGTCATTTTTCTTTCTTTAGAATTTTGTTTTACAATGACATCCAATTGTGTAATTTCTGAACAAATTTCCAACCGCTTGAAGGTTAGGGTAAATATAAAGACAGAGTAATATTTTATGAACTGGTGCAAATGCAAAATATGGAACATAGATTTCAAAGTTTGCATGCCGCATTAGCTGTCCACCAGGACAAGTAAGCAATAACCTTGACAGTAATTTATAGTTGTTCGAGGTTTACTGAACCTTGTTTATGTACATAAGAGAGAAGTCATGTTGTTATACTATTCAAAATAAATTTTGTTTTGTACCTACCGGTTTCTCGCATTCATTCATACTCTTTACTTACATCAATACTGCGGCCAAATTAACGCCACAAGCTGACGTTCACTCGGATTGACTCGTACGTGACCAAACTGCGCTCGGTAGATCTAGCTCCCATTCAAGCTCATTAAAAAGGCCCTACGATACTTGCTTTCAGCATGGTCAGAAAAACGCTGCCCATCGGTTGTCCAGACACGTGGAAACACTCGAAAGAATCGTCAGGGCCTTTTAGCTGATTGCATTTTGCCTCCCGCTCTGCTCAACCAGTCGGTGGTTGCGCCACTGAGCATGCGCTGTACGGTCAGATGCTGAGCGTGTGAGCGGACCGTCGTAGCGAGCGATGGATCACGTGATGCGAGGAGGAACGACCTAACTGACAGCCTCCTGTGCCGGGAGTCCTTGCTTCTCGGTAAACGTAGTGGTTTTTCGGCAAATACGCCAGCACTGATGGCTCTTCAAGACACGCAAGGATCTGTGCCTCCTCCAAGAACTCGCCTCAGCCAATCTCTTCGAGAATCCGTGCACGGGGGCTGAAGTTCTACGAAATTATCTAGAGTGGACACTTCAGACTATGAAGGAGCGTCTCAAGATGCTTTGTTCGTACTTTCGTAAAAGGAACTTCGCGAATTTTTAACAATTTAGTATTTAACAGCAGCCACTCTTCCACATGTGAAGAAAAGCTTTTTACTTTGATTCGCCACAAGGAAACGCGATGAGCGCGCTGCTTCAAGGCACGGCGTTTCAAACTCTTTTGGGCTGCCTAAAGGCTTTGAAGTAGTCCAGCTACAAGTGAGGGTGACAAAAAATTAAAAAAAGAACTGATCATGTGTCAAACAATAAATGATTCACACTTCTTTAAAACGGAAATTTTGGTCTTGCTGCATGAAAACAAATAAGTTTATTTTCTTTTAAAGCAACTTTCGTGCATCGATGGCGTCACAATGGCTTTGACCGAACGACACATGTATAAAACTGAAAACGCGTGTTGCACTTTGGTAACGTTGAGCGTTTGAGCGGAACAGGGAAGATAGCGCAAAAGCGGTCAGCGAAAAGTCTCTATTATAGTGCAGCACGCTGCGAAGAGCACAGACTTAATTCTGAGTCAGCTATAAACTGTTTTCTCTTATTTCAGGAGCTGATGCCTTATACCCAAATGACCACGCCACATGCCCAATTTGCGCCCATCGGCCGTTTCGGGCAACGTGGGTGGCATAATTACCGAAGCCGCCACGTGAGGCCACCACGTGTTTTCTAGAGCACTACACTACGGCGTCTCTCATAATCATATGGACACTTCGAGATGTTTATTCCCAAGAATCGCATATATGCAGATGAAGATTTTTGATCACGACTGGCTGCATCACGCACAGGAGGCAGAAAATTTCTGTTGAAAATTTTAATTCATATCGAGTTCTATCGCACTCAGCTGTAGAATACCGGTATAAGAGTGGGCTTGCCCTATCGCTTTCACTGAGATTCATCCGACACAGCCATTCACATTTAAACTCAAAAGTTTTCGCGAGTACGGCTAAGCCAACAGGCGGGCAAGCATGCTGGCCACGTCTAAAAAAGCAAGTAAATAGGGCAACTTGCACCCCTTCTTCACCGTCTAACACACAGATGAAAACAAGAAGAAACCAACCTTCGTGAAGGGAAGAAGAAAAAAATGTCACGTGGTTCCTAATTCATTTATTCGCCAAAGACTATTACAAGAACAGCAATATTGTTTTTCTTCTTGATCAATTGTATTGATCGTCTGTTCTTGCAACATATGAAGGGGCAAAGTCGCACACTCAACTGCGTGTTTTTCGCTGACGTCACTATCTAATCAAATGCGCCTTTCTCCTCTCGTTTGTGCATCAGTTGCTCCTGAGATACTGCGGCGACTGCTACACAAGAGGCCTGGACTACAGCGAGAACTATCGCGGGAAAAATGGACGAATCAGAAACAACAGACGAAGACGAGTGGTACTTCCAACTGAGTTTGTTATAGAGATGACGTAAAAAATACAGTCACGCAGATGGCACCTGAGTGTGATACTTGCGTGAGCATGCATTTTACGTTATTTTCAGAGAAAGAAGTAACTTATGTGGGAGGCAGTGATGCAAGCAGTACGTGACTCCTTTTTCTAAACTTCTCCTTCATTTACTCCACCTAAGACATTATTGCTTGCTTGGTTTTCACTCGCGTTTTTCCTATACGTTCTTCTTTTTCTTATGGCCCATTTAATCTCCATGATGTGCACAACAGGCTCATTGCAAAGTGGCGCCTGTCGTCTTCAATGCTGTCTTCTTCTTCCCCGGGTTGCGCTAGAGCAATTGTCATGGCCGACCAAGTACTCTAATTGGCCACTATTCTGGGCAAGGTGCTCCACCTTTGGTATACAGCTTGTCTTCAGAAACTTACAGTAACCTTTATTCAAATAAATGCTCCGCATGTAAAAGCTAAGCTGCAGTTGTGAACGAAGTGAACTTATTTGGTATCTGTTAACTGTACAGGTGTGGAACATGCCTTACGAAAAGTGTGGTGCTCGTTGAAGACCCCCAGACAAGGTGAAAAATATTTCGCAAATGAAGTTTTGAGATTCACGTTACGTTCAAGTAGCCCTAGCTCACTAGATGCGTTGTACGGAACACTGCAAATCATAACAAAGAATGAATCGTAAACACTGCGATTTCGGTGGTAATTAGTTGCACCTTTTGCTAATTCATTAAGAGCAGCTATAAGCTGCTTTCAATCGGTAGTTGCCTTTTAGATATTGCCCCGATAAATAGTTTCATAAAGGTGCCTTCGTATTATGATTGCATGGCAACGTTAAAACTATAGGTCTAACGTTTACCATTTCTGAAATATTACAGCTTTCCAGCCATTATGGAATTCATGAATTTGCTACTCTAGTTTCTTTTGGCCTATACCCTTCAGGTATGCCAGTATTTCACGCAGGGACGTTTTTCGAAATTTCAAGTATTCCAGGGCAGCACAGATCCGTGCAATAGAATACAATACGATGCCATGAAAGTGCCACGTAATAAATATTCTTATGAAACGTGTTATAATATCTTCAATTTCCGACATTTCGTATGGTTTTTTTCATCGACATCTCCAGGTATCTTCGCTTACTTTTTTGTGCTAGAACTTTGATATGGTTCGCATGAACATTGTAATGTGAACTCCGAAGCCATTCTGACAACTCTAATTCGAAAAACTTCAATTGAATCTTTAACCGAGTAAGACTTGAAAAGGGAGTAGCACTTCACCTTCAAAGGCGAATGAAGATAAGCCTCAGCCAAATGAGCGGGTGCTCCGACCTGACGTCATAAGACGGAGGGTCAGTGACCCCGTCATTGAAAAGCATCGCGAAGTAACAGACTAGAAAGTTGGGCGAGTTGGTGTATATTCATATTAAAAGAAAAGCGGCGCACAAAAAAAGACGGAGACAAAGAAGAGAACCACACACAGCGCTGTGTGTGGTTCTCTTTGTCTCCGTCTTTTTTTTGTGCGCCGCTTTTCTTTTAATATGAGCATCGCGAAGTACATGAATGAAACTATACTTCTAGCCGAAGAAGCAATCGGCTGCCACGAATGTGGCACCCGGCTGGCTTGCGGCATACGCTTTCAAAGCGTACTGGAATTTCGCATCTTTTTTGTGACATTAAGAACACTCAGGTAACTTCAGCCTCCTGTGTCAGCGCAAGTTTCAGACGTGTTGATACTGGAATGCCTTTTGAAAAACTGTAAATTGGTTCCTTAACAAAATTCTGAAATCTCTGCAATGATCCCTGCGATTCAGCTGCCCTAAACAGTGTGAACATTGTCGGAAAGATCTCAATAAGCAGCCGGACACCTATGAAAAAAGCGATTCCATTATCAAACTGGCTGCATGGTTATGTGGTTATGTGCCACTTCAATGAAAGGCATTTGTTATTGGAGTCAAA